ATGAACTAATACGAGTGTTGGGAAGCAGGTTTGGTTACCTTGCCTACATACAGAGTCCCTGTTACGCTCTGTTTTCTATTTATCGTTCTAGTAGGTAGCTTTACCATTTTTTCATCCAACACTAAAGAAGCAAAGATGTGCATTGTCCCAATCCCTGAATTCTTCATTTAAAATGACCTTTCTTTGTGTAATTTACACATCTCATCTGTGATCTCATTGGTGGCGCGTATAGATGCAGCGCCCCCTTCAGGAGACAACGATAGTGAGCGTTTTGAGTGTCTTGTCTATCCCAGACATTCATTCAGTAAAACTTGTGGCCGGGACACTTTGCTGGGCGTCAGGACCGTGAACGGCGCTGAAATTGCAGCGATCGGTTGTGATGTGGACAAACTACACCAACATGGAGTCCGATCGGAGACGACGCCGGCAGTTACCCGAGAGAGAAGGAAGCGGTACCAACGTTAACAAAAGAGGAGGAAGAGAGCCGGGATCCATCCATCCATCCATCCATCCATCCGTCTTCTTCCACTTTATCCGGAGTCGGGTCATGGAGGCAGCATCCTTAGCAAAGCCGCCCAGAGTTTCCGATCTGCACACGCCTCCTCCAGCTCTTCCAGAGGGACCCCTAGATGTTCCCAGGCCAGTAGAGAGACATAATCCCTCCAGCGTGTCCTGGGTCTTCCCCAAGGCCTCCTGCCGGTGGGACACGCCCAGAACACCTCCCCAGGGAGGTGTCCGAAAAAGATGTCCGAGCCACCTCAGCTGGTTCCTTTCGACGTGGAGGAGCAGCGACTCTACTCCGAGCTCCTCCTACGTGACTGAGCTCCTCAGCCTATCTCTAAGGGAGCGCCCAGCCACCCTGTGGAGGAAACTCATTATCGCCGCCTGTATGTGCGATCTTGTTCATTACCCAGATCTCATGACCATAGGTGAGAGTAGGAACGTAGATTGACCAGTAAATCGAGAGCTTTGCTGCCTTGCTCAGCTCTCTCTTCACCACGACGGTCTGGTACAACGACCGGAACACTGCAGACGCTGCACCGATCCATCTGCCAATCTCACGCTTCATCCGCCCCTCACTCGTGAACAAGACCCTGAGATACTTGAACTCCTCCACTTGAGGCAAGGACTCACAGACCCAGAGAGGGCAAGACACCTTTTTCCAGTCGAGAACCAGAATCCGGGATCCATGCTAGGCTAAAGGCTAACCCCTCCAGACCAGCAGGATCCATGCTAGGCTAAATGCTAACCCCTCCACACCAGCAGGACCGTCCTCCTGCTCTCCAATGTCCGCTCCCTCCACAACCAGCTGGACGTTTGCTGGGATAAACCCTCAGAGAGTGGAGGGACTGCTGTGTGTCTGCTTTAACAGGAACATGGCTCCATGACAGCATCCCAGACGGACAGACAGCTGGAGGGGATGCAGACAGACAGACAGACAGACAGACGGACAGACAGCTCTGGGCAGCATCGTGTGTCTTTGTGTCCCTGAAGACCAACCAGGACCTGAAGAGGGTCGCCATGTTCAACGAATGGCGGTGTGCATGGACGCAGCGCCCCCTTCAGGAGACAGCGAGAGGGAACGTTTAGTGTCTTATCCCAGACGTGCAATCCGCAAAACTTAAATAATCCTGAAGAAACGCTCTCTCGTCCTGCCTGTACTGCTGTATGTGTACAGCAACATGACAATAACCCTGATCTGATTTGATCTGATTTGATTTGATTTGATTTGATCTGATTTGATTTGATCTTACCATCTTAAACTCTCTTTTCTGCTTGTGTTTCCACTTAGATTGCACACATAAATACATACGCTACATATTTATGAGCTTGTCCCAACTAAAACCATACGATGCTTCTAGAGAGTGAAATATTTCAGCCTTTAGATGCCAAACTTTTCACAGGAACAGCATTACATCAAATGGACTCTTGAATTCAGTCTGACTTATTTGGTATCTTTACAAACTTTGGGTCTTGTCTAGAATTTAAAGCAAAAACTTTTCTGAATTCAAACACCTCTTGGCAGAAATGGACCCGCCACAAAAGGTTCGAGTCGTAAACCACAAGTTTTTGACTTTTTACTGTCTGTTTGGGTCCAAATGCTCATTTCTGTGGCATTTCTCAGCAGCGATTCCCAGACTTTATTTTTTTTGTTTTTTCATTATTGTTCTGTATTTTTCCTGGAATGTCTGTTGTTACCACACTTCTGGTTCTGAAATAGAAAATATAAAACAGTCTATATTAGTCTGTTTGGGACAGACTGTCGATGCCGTTACATTTAGAGTTTTAAAAAAAAGAAGTAATTGGATTATTAGCACGTAAATTCCTGGCCTGCTGCTGCCGGTGTCGTCATCGTGTATCTGGTGTTTTGTGTTGACATTTTCCGTGGCTATTTTTGTGTGAGATTGCGGTCGAGTGTTAGTGGATGTGTGCGCCACAGCAGTAGGTCCAGGTGGAAACGTTTACCTCCTCGCTGAGCAATTCCAGTCTAAACGCCATTTATCAGATAAAGAGAGTCTGACACACCGTAGAGACTCTGCAATTAGAGGTCGTCGGCGGCGTGTGTGACAGAAAGCGTGCTTACCTTCACTGATGAAAAAAAACATATCAGGCATGTAAATATGATCATGCACATCCTTAGGTCACTGAGCTGAACTGTTTGTTTTGGCGCTCTGAGCTTCGAGGTACTGAAGTTCTAGCAGCACCTGAACAACTCCTTGGTGTTTACTCGCCGTCCTCAGAAAACGAGCATGAATCCATGTTAATTAAAGCGCCATGTTCCTGTCTCTCCCCCTCAGCACACTCTCTTGCATACACAACACAAGCCAGCATGTAAACACTGAGAGGAGTAAGAGCTGATGAAAAGCCGTCCAGGAAACAGTCATTCCCATCTATAAATAGAGCTTCTTCTGGGATTTTAGGGGGGAACTTTTTTTGAAATGCAGCCAAAGTGCAAACTTTTTCCATGTGCTCTTCTGTTTCTTAATGACCGGAGTCAGAATGAATTTGACAGAAGCGGATGTTGTGTTATCTCCTGAATCACACAGCTCCCTGTGAACATGTGTGCGTCTTATGCCTGATGCATCTTCTTACAGAAGCTCCTGAAAAACACTGAAGATGACTCAGTGTTCTGCTCGATGCTGTCACAATACCCCAGACACAATATCCTCTCCATTTACTGTAAACGCACCGTCATCATCTGGCCCTACACGTAGCAGTGAATTACTTGAGCCTCAGTCATCGTGCGTCATTAAACGAGGGACCACAGATTCTGACATCACACTGTTTTCATGTTCTGGTTCCATTTTAATCTGCTTACCCAAAACATCTGTGTTTATGGCAGTCGTTTGAATCCTCGTTGGACTACATGCCTTAAAATAGTCCGCTTTGTGCTGCTAAACTCAACTTTCCTGCTCCTGTCACTTTATTTTTCCCAGACAAGAAAAAGATCAGAGAGACGAACCCCAACGAGGAGAAGTCTGCAGAAACTGGAAGAGGAGGAGGAGGAGGAGGAGAAAGTCCACAGCGACCGCCGGGCACCAATCCCATCATCAACTCCACTTCTGGTGCCAACATGGCCCTCATCAGCAACGCACTGGCAGCCTACACTTACATCTCAGGTAGGACCACATTCACAGAGGAAATCAAAACCAAATGTTGGGTTTCTTGGTATGGTTGTGCACACAGTCTGCAGCTGTGAGTCGCTACGGAGTCACTCATGGCTTCACAGTTGCAACAGAGGGTGCAGGATATTGAGTTTTTTACAGGATCTGTTTGTGCAAACTGTGAAGTGGCTGTGATGAAATATTAAGATTTTAAGCTGAGATTTGGTTCGGTTCTCTGACAGAACAGGTGAATAGCTCCTACTTTGTCTCTGACGCTGATAGATAGTCTGAAACTTCAAGATCCCAACCTGATCTCTTTGGGATGTAAAACAATTCCACCACAGGGATGAAGTTTCGTGTTATCGTTGCTGTTAGCGAGCAGCGTCGGCTTGATCGCGTCTCGGACTGTGAATCGGTGACGCTGGGATGCATGGTTACAGATGTGCTCCATGTGTGTGGCACACTTTTGTTTGGGTAAATTCCCCCCGATTCCCTTCTCCTGAGACTGAATGGTGGGTAAATGTGGGCCAGAGGAATGCAGATGTTAGGCGGAGATAACGGCCACATGAACCGCTCGCCGCCGGTCACCTGCTCCGAGCAGCTGCTAAAACAGACGCTCGAATAGTTTGTGTCTTTCCTGTTTTGTTCCCTCCCACTCTGCATCTCAAATAAACAGTTGAATGCACACAGTCAAATAAACATGCGCTGTGAATTAGCTGTAGTTACTCAGCTCGCCCATCCCGATTAGCGGTAAAGGTCCAGGAGTGCATACAAGCAAACAAACAAGGACGACTTACAGTAATCAAGCCTGAGAATGGCGTGAGTCACGACAAAGAGCTGCTTGGACGAGAAAGATCAGAGAGGACAGAGGTCTGGTCTGAATAGAGTCACAGGTGTCTTGGTGGCCTCCCTCACTCGCCACCTTTCTGCCCTCGGTCGCTCTGCTTCAGGCAGATTTACCACATTTATTAAATATGGATTGAACTGTACTCCAAGAGGTTTTCAGTGGATTGGGATGTTCTTTTGTTTTTATGGTGTAGTTTTAGCCAGGAGTACTGATTCACCAGTGACTGGACCTTCCAGTTAATCGCTTGAGACTCACTCACTGCCAACCAGCTGATCTCCATTTCAACAGCTGTCTGACTTCTAGCACCAGTTGACTTTACCTCTTTTACTTTCCATAGGCTCTGTAGGATTACACCCCGTCTTGTGTCATTACTTTGGTTCTTTTAACGGTGAAAGAAAAACCCGACTCAGAATGAGACCAGCTCAGTGTTGTCTGCTTTAAGCTAGACGGGGGAGAGATGCATTTCTGGAAACGAGTGCACAATAAAGGAGTTGTATCAGAATTTGTCAGACATTATTACTAATTCAGGAGACGAAGCCGGGAAGTGAGTCATCTGAGCTGCTAAATCTGCAGCCAGAGCTCATTGCAGCGAGTGAGCCATCAAGTGAAATATATCGCCGGCTGAGCGAGTCCGGGGAAAACAGAAGAAACCCAGTACCTGTCAGAGACGTCCAATTAAATGTTTGACATGTTGTCTGTTAGATATCAGCTGAGTGTAACGCTTCCCCTCCTGTCTCCTCTCTGACAGACCACCCGGAGAGAGCTGCACTATTCTTTGTCTGCGGCGTGTGTTTGGGCCTCTTCCTCACCCTCTTCGCCCTGGTGGTCCAGATCTCGTGTCGCACCGACTGCCAGCCCCGCCAGCGGCCTCCTGCCAAGAAACGAGCGCGCCCGGCCGACTCGTCCTCCGACTCCAGCGACTCGGACTCGGACTGGGACACCACCTCGGACCTGTCGGCGCGGAGACACCGGCGCTTCGAACGTACGCTTAACATGAACGTGTTCACGTCGGCGGAGGAGCTGGAACGAGCGCAGAGGCTGGAAGAAAGGGAGCGGATCATCCGAGAGATCTGGATGAACGGGCAGCCGGACATCCCAGGGACACGGAGCCTCAACCGGTATTACTGAGGAACTGCTGAAGGGGCTTCTGACAGAAGGCTTACATGACTTGAACAAAACTTTGGACGCACTTGGTTTGTAGGGGAACGAAGACAAGGCCCAGATGAGGCTTTACAAGGAGGCATGCAGAAGCAGCTGTGGACTCCGATGAGAGCAGTGGAAGGCATTGCAGACTTGGGAAGAAAGTCCTCCCTCTCTGCTGGTTTGTATATTCCTCTGGGCATCATAAGCTATACCCCGTTCAGTAGGACAATAAGCTTCCACTCTGCATGGTAAGCTCGCCTCTTACTGCCGGAAGTGAGAGGTGAAAGGCTGCACTGCCTCGCCCGTGACCTCAGCAGGCCTTTTTGAAGTGGGGATTTATGGGCTAGCTGCCTCAGACATACACAGGCCTGCAGAGACTACATGGTGACTGAAGGACCAAGGCCTCACATGGGTCTGTTTCACGCAGAACGCAGGGCAGCTGGAAGAGACTTTACGCTCACTACCCTCCAGTATTCAAGAGTGAACTTTAGCAGAGGGGCGGTACGAAGCAAGCCGACGATGGGACAATGTACGACAATCTCTCCACAGTGAATAATCATGCTGCCTTTTGAGCTTTATAAAACCAAAAGATATTTTTGGGGAAATTCATCTCAACCCTTATGAAATATATTTTATAATATTTAATAGTTTATTGACGTTGTGTATTTTTGTTCTCAAGTATGGTTTATTATGAGATATTTTTATACTTGGCGAAGGTTGTCTGGCACCTCAGGGATGCAATCCTAGTGTTTCTGTGTTTGGTTGATGTATTTGCTTCCTAAGAAGGGGATCAGCCCGTTTAAACAGCTACGTATGTCAGCATTTAAAGAAAAAGAATTAGAAATGTCATATAAAGAGCCTCAAAGAGGTTTTTAGTGATTTAACCTTATTTTTGATACGGTACGTTTAACTCACGGTGCAGTGCCTTTTCTAGCTACTAAGTCGCTGTTGTCAAGATTGCAGCTGGTGTGTCTCTCAGTAAACGGTCAGATTATTTATTGATTGGAAATCCTAAATTAATCTCCTCATATTCCCTTTTGTCAGAAGAACTGCTTCGCTGAAGTGGAGCGCATGTAAAGTCTGAATGTCTCTGTTAAACATTGCACTTGCTGTCTTCCCAGATGTAAATGTACATTACCAGGATATGCAAATGTTGTACCAGTGAAGTTATTTTTCTGGTCCTCACTCATAAACGATTGTGTGAATTTTGGGTCTCGTGCCAATCATGCCTGCATGTCAGAAATATCAGTGCTAAACAGATGCTTGTACTCACGGCCATCTGAAGAAGGAACCAGCACTGCAAAAAAATAAAAACAAAACTCACGGCGGACATGTAACCTGCTCCTCTTAAGTCATGTTGCCAGTTTGATAATATAAGCTATTGTCAGTCCACGTCTGTTTTTGCTTCCCTGGATTCAAGCATAGAAATAATTATAGTTTTCATTTAAAAAAAGAAAAAGCAAAAAAAAAAAAAAGCTTGGTATTTTCTGACTGAGAGTTTAATGAAACAGGACATATTAGGGTCATCTACATAAAGACCGTCGCTCTTATAGTTGTTTTTTTTTTTTTTTTTTTCAATAA